TGGCCACAGTATTTAATGTTACGAAAAGGTAGACACAAAGCATGGTTAACTTCGGTTGAAGAACTGTTTCATTTGTCATTCACAACTTTCAAAACGAAAATGCAATATATTTCATGCAAAAAAAAAAAAAACCGTCACAAAGACGCAGCTGTTTTCCAAAAAGCAAGTTGTTATTCAGGTGTTATGGTATGGATGGGAATGTCCTCTTAAGGCTTAACAAAACCATTTTGTGTAGAACCAAAAGCTAAAATTAATGCTAAATACTATCAGAATAAAGTTTTTAAACACTTGGTCAAAAAAGTAAACATCTTTACCCTCAAGGAAACTTTGTTTTTCTTCAAGAGTTAGCACCAAATCATACTGCAAAATCCACTATAAAAGGGCTTGAAGATTAAAAAATAAATTGTCTGCCTCCTGAGAAATGGCAACCACCTTTCCCCTGACTGTGTTCCTGGTGATTATTTTCTATGAGGATACATAAAAAAACATTTAAACAGACATAAAGTAAGAACACTTCAAAGGCTTCAAAAATCCATCAAAGAGGAATTTGGAAAAATACCCCCAAAATAGTCAAAAGGCCCTTTTGGCTAGACCAAAACGTTTACGCAAAGAGTACTATGCTAAAGGAAACCACAATGAAAATTTCATGTAAATAACTTATCGTAAAATCCGATGTATAACGCGCACCTATAATTTTAAGGCGTATTTTTTACTTTTAAGGTATATTCGCCGTATAACGCACATCCCCTTTTTTACAATGCAATGTACGTTTGCAATGCTATTATGTTTTAAGGCCATTTATTCGGGGGTTTAGCCCAGGATTTCGAAAAATTCTTATATTTCTAGAAAAACAACCCTTCAAATTCATAAGGTATGGCATTTCTTTTAAATAAACAGTATTCAGGTCTTTTTAGAAGTATAAAAGATTTTTTTACGCACATCACTTTTTTTTTTTTTTTTGAAGCTATCATTTTTATACCAGGCGTATAACGTGCACCCGTAAATTTCTATCCTATTTTTTCTTTTAAAGGTGCGCGTTATACGCTTGACTTTACGATAATTTGTTAAAAATTATTTATGATGCTCTGAAATTGGTCACATTAATTTTGAATCAACCGGTAATATACAAGGATCATTATTTTAGCATCTATTAAATAATTTGTACATGATTGATGATCTAAAAACATTGATATTGTAACGTAGTATGGTACAATACTTGTAATATGGAACCTATATTCTTTCTTCGCTCAATATATAAATTAAATTAAGAAAAATTCATTGTATTATATGTATACTAATAGAATTTGTGTGTGTATGTGTGTTCTCAATATTTTATGATTGTGTGTGTGTGTGCTATACTGCTTCTTTGCGGAGTAAAAATATTAATTGCAATTTGATGTAATAATAGTTCAATATACAAAGAGAAACACACACATTTTATAATAAAGATAAGTACATAACTGTGTTCAATATATAAAATGAAACAATTATCTAAAATGTATTTTACGTATAAATCACATAATTATAAAAACTCTCTGACTAAAAAAATAAGCAACATTTAGAAAATATTGTTGTTGCTTAACCCCTCTAGCGTATATATCCTTCTTGCTCAACCGATGCGTTGAGTGTTCCGTACGTATATATCCGTCCTTCCAAAGTACAATTCTTTTCTTTGCGCTGCTATCTGTAAAGCTATTACAAAGGCTTTGGAATGCAATAAAATTACCTTGACCAATACACCGCATATTCGCGTCAGAGAGAAACGGTAGCTGTGGGGAGGGAATCGCGTTATTTTTAAGTGACAGTTAAGGTGTTACCCCATGGTGGAATCAACACACACACACACATTACATCTGTCTCTCTTAGAAGAACTTAGAATTATTACTCCTTTTCTTTGAATATACTTTGCTGTATTTCAGTCCTTTTCAAATTTCATCTTGTTTTCCATTTTAACTGTGCTCCTACAATCTTTAAGTTCTTTTAATTCTTGACTCCTCCCTTCTGGCTCCACCCAAATTGGTGTGCTTAGGTTTCGCCCCCTATTTTTAGGCCTTTGATATTTCAGGTCTGAAATGTTTAAAAGTAACATACTAAAAAAGAAAACATAATTTATTTCTTATATCTGGATTTTTTTCACTTTTTATTTTGCGTATTAGATTATTTGTAATGTTATTTTAAATAATAGGATTTGAATTTACCCTACAGGCAGTTTTATACATTTTTCTTGAATAAAAATGGGTACTTTTCTACTATTTTTTTGAAAATTATATGTACTTTAAATGCTTAGTTTAATGCTACTCGTTATACTGCAGTTTTTAATTTCAAAATGTGTTAGTACTTGTTGTTATAGGTAAATAATTACTAAACTAAAACCAGCAGCCCATGAAGGCCGAAGCCTACTGTGACTATTTCAGTTTCCGTGACCTTAGGAAGAGGCTCATGTGCAGATGTTCCGGTCAGGTGGTCAATCTAACATGAAAGCCCCAGTGTTTATTACTCAAGCAAACCCAGCCCGGGATTTGAGCCACAGATCTGTGGCATGGAAGAGCGATACACTACCCCTCAGCCAATAAACTTCATAGGTAAATAATTAAAAGCAATAGATAAAATAAATCATTTTATTTGGATATCACTTTTATTAATATCTCTCTGAATAGTTATCACAATAACATTTTATTTCTTACAGAAGTTTATTTCTTAGATCCTTATACCATTTGGATACAAATATATTTCAGTCAATTGAAAAAAAAATCTGTTATGAACAAAATTACCTCGCTGGTACACACTGTAAAGGGTGCAACAATACTCGTAAATACACACCCGATAGTAAGATTTCATCTAAATCATTTCAAATTAGATCATTTGATCGATTTGATGATTGAAAAATTTAACTTTAAGTAGATGAAGTAAAATTCTAAATATCATTTATTGAATTTCTACTTAAACAAACATTGGAACATTTCTAGTTCATAATATAAAACTGAGCCAGTTCATTGAATTTGCATTTTTCATTATCTCCTACAGGTCATTAAAACAGTCGTCATTAGTATATAAAGTTTTAGATAAAAAACAAATTAGGTTTTGGGTTATTTTGACAAATTTTGAAGAATAAAATATTAAATTCTGTTTAATCAATCATCTATTTAATTCTGTTAACATCAAAATAAAATCCTCAACAAATGGTCAAGCCAAAAACTCGTACAAACTATTAGCGAAAAATCGGGGAATATTTAGTCAATTATTTCATTTATGACTAACATAATTCAAAATATTAAAAAAATTTGCATTATTATAATTTATCCATCTAATATTATTTTATTTTTATTTCTGTATTTAATCAAGTTATATTTTTTGGTTTCGTTACTTCAAAGAACAGGTTTTATTGTGTTAGGTCACTTATTGTAAAACGATACTGTTGTTTGTATGTATTATTTAGAGAATGTTAAAGATTGGATAATATGTTAAATATACATTTAGTAGGACATATATTTACTTGTAATGGACACAAAGAATTAAACATTATCAAAAATAACATGTCGAATTATGATAATTCTCTACTTCTTATTATTTATCTTGCGTTGCCATCCGATTCCGAATATGTAATATGATTTATTATTGATTCAGTAACCTCAGTTTGCTTTTCTGCCAGAACTTATTACGGTGGAACCAGATGGCACTTTCTAGACTATTGCGTCATTCTTAATGGTGCTACTTAATATTAGGGAGAAGGTGACAACTCACACAATTCTACTCCTACAATTATATCTGGTACATCATAAAATCAAGTAAATAGTTAATTTTACCTCTAATATTTATTTACTTTTTCGTATAATTTTACATAATTACCTACAAAGAAAAGTTGCAATTTGGTTCGGAGTGCAGAAAAAGAAATTGGAAACAGCGATAACTCGCACTATTTCACAGCCTACTTCGACTTTTTACCCTTCACTTGGACTCGCGAGGAGGTTGCTATATATAAAAAAGAATCTACGCAGTTAATTTAGATGTGAATATAAATGAAAATATGTAATATGCAAATATGAAATATATTTTTTAATATATCAGTTAACTTTGGAAATTGTTTTAATTTTTTTCTTTTTCAATCCCTACTCTTAATTCACTCACTCCCTATATATGTGTTTATTTATGTATACATACATATACATATACATATATATATATATATATATATATATATATATATATATATATATATAATACTTCTTAAATATTTCTAGTGAGTGGTAAAATTAATTGTAAGACGTGGCGAGGAGATGTTATTAAAACAACGAAAAAACACGGCGTGGCCGGTGGTGAGTGAATCCTGTATGTTGATGCATTTTCTGTGATGAGATTGACGAGGCAGTCTTGTAAGTTAGTAAATCCAATTTATCGAATATCTTCAAACACCTAGGCATATTAATTACAATAATCATGGACGACACAGCGCAGACAAAGAAACTACAAAACACAACACAAAGCAACCGGCTACATGACTACAGAAAAACAACGAAGAGAGGCGGGATTTCCAGATACATCGGCTTTTATATCCGGCGGTGAAGACCACGTGACATTTTTGTAGTAAAAGCTCTGATTGGTTACAATCCATGGGAAAGGGATTTATGATGTAATAATATTAGTCGATTATGATTAAGATTAGAGTGTTAGTTTTGAACCAAAGAATTAAAAAAGATTACTTGAATATTATTAAAAAGAGATAATTAAAAAGATGCTAGGGGGAATTATTACACACACACACACACACAAACATATATATATATATATATATATCTTGTTCAAATTTTCAATCGTTGATAAAATAATTTTTATTTATCCATGCAAGTTTCTAATACATTTTTTTAAATCTGTAGTGGATGGCACTTGATGTTAATACAGTTTCGTCAAATATTGATTCATTAATTACATTTAAAAATGAACAAATAGTAACAAACAAAAATAATAGTCCAACAGCATATATAGAAAGGAAAATTGCTCGTTGTGTCCCTGTAGCGTAATGAGTATTGCATTGAAATTTTAATTCAGTTCGTGGGTTCGAATTCCACCTGGGATGGCCTAATTTCTGAGAATGTGATTTCTTTTTACAACACTATTTTATTAGAATAATAAAATTAAATTAATAATTAAATAGTAACAAACAAAAAAATAGTCCAACACCCTATATAGAAATTAAAATGGAAAATTGCAAGTAAAATCGCGCGCTTTCTGTTTTGACACTTAATATTGTGCTTCTGTCATATGTATGAAGTACATAGTATGTACTACATGTATCATATATATGACAGAATTAATTATAATTAATATTTATAAATTACAAGTAATATTTATATTAATTAAAACTATTTAATAAAAATAACTAAAATAAAAATTTTCTTTGTTGCCCCAAGTAAGAATTGACGTCAAAATTTTTTTTATATTACTTGTTCGTACTATTATCGTCTGAATTGATTTAGCAATTTATTTATCCTAATTTTTCTTACTGTCTAATTTATTTACTGATATTTAATCGTTTGGTATTATAAGTTTTGTTGCAAACTTTGGCATCCTTTTTGTATTGAATCTTGATGAGAGAACTCTTCAGTTGATTGTTAGAATTCGAACCGGTATGTAATTTTGACACGTAATGGAAAAAGGTTTTACTAATTTAATAAAGTTTTTACTAATGGCTGTTGTTTTTACTAATTTGATTAGATCTTACATTGCAAAAAAATCAACGTTCTTACGTATGAATAAATATGTCCTTGTTTGTTATGCCATAGTTTTAATTAAACATTTTATTCTATTTCAAATAGATTACTTGCACCAAATTCGTCAATATATTAGTACATGAGGCGTATCTGAGGATCATAACCAATGCAAGAATTCGACAGCTAACTATTCTCCAAACTCTGGCATTAATGAGGCAATAGACTGGGTTTTCAATACTCCAGAAATTATAACTCGAAGACATGAATATCTAATTACGAATTAAGTGGTTCATATAAATATCAAGATATGTATATCGATGAATTGTTAAATGATGAATTAGATGAATTGAATGATGATCAAGATAATGGTAAATGAGCAACAGCTTAGATGTTATGGATCCGAATTATTATGAGATCGAAATTTTGAGGGTATATCATGAATTAATGTACAGGGTGTCCGGGCTTAAAGCACCCAAAAGTAATGACTTATTATTAAGGAATTACCCATCAAAATGTAATAAAAAGTTCATCCATAGATTAGAAAGCTCTCCGAGATTTTTTGGGTTTAGTCCAATCGGCCGCACTTGCTCGCATTAATCGTAAATCGCAGACGATAAACTTTTTTTACACTGACCATTAGTACAGATGAGGACGCCACAGTAAAAGTTGCAGGGCGTACTTTGGTTAAAACAATTTAAATCAGTCACGCGTGTACAGCGAAGTGTTCGAACAGAATGGAATGTCGACCCTCCGACATCAAAATCTATCCACCAATGGGACAGAACTTTAAGGGAGACGCGAACTTTGGTATCTGAAACTTTAAAGTATTCTTAAGTTTTCTTGATAGAAGATACTGTTGATCGTTTGCATGATTCATTTTGCAGGAGTCCTGATAAGTGTATTAGGCAAGCCAGTAACGACATTCCATTCTGTTCGAACACGTCGCTGTACACGAGTGACTGATCTAAATTCCTTTAACTAAAGTACGCTTTGCATCTTTTACTGTGGCGTCCACATCTTTACTAATGAAGTTATTGTAAAAAGTTTATCGTCTGCGTTTGTCGAATAATGCGCGCACGTGCGGCCGATCGATCTAGACCCAAAAAATCTCGATTTTTCCAAGCCATGGATGAATAGTTTATTACATTCTAATGGGTATTTCCATAATAAATAGCAAATAATTTTTGAAAACTTTAAGCCCGTACACCCTGTATTTATGTTCACCTATCAATTAAACTCATTTGTCTAAATTGTCTACTTATTTTTTCGAAAGAATTTTGTAAAAGAATAGGCAAAGTGGTTTGCGTTTATTTAAAATCTGGAGGGTCCTGTATGTCTTATGGATCACAAAAGACTCGTAAAAATTAAGAAATCAAACTTAGATAGACATTTTCTTACAAAATATTCTGCATTTGAAATAACCGTCAAATAAAGCAAGGAAGAGAGCTGTTACAAAAAACAGAATCAAAAACAGAAGTCGAGTTTCATATCGAAAAATTGAGCACATCGTTCAGATATATTCCAGTTCTAAAACTTTGTGGTCTCAGAAAATTGCAAAAAGAAAACAAAAGAAAGAAAGAAAGAGAAAAAAAGAAAACTATTTATGGATGGTTATATCAAAGATTGATTTATAAAAGCACCCGTATAGGTTTTTTTCGTAATAAAATTGAAAATAATAAAAGTTTCCAAATTTCAATAGAACCAGTCATGCCGAAATATGAAATAAGATCTTGTAAAAATATTGAGCAAATGAATTGTTCAAAACTCTTTTGAAAAATAAAAACTGGAAACATTAAAAGCAATAGTATGTGTAAATATCACATCAAAAGCAAACTCTTCATAATATTCTATATGAATATTTAAAAAAAAATCATTTGTGTTTATCTATTCTAGAGGTTTCCTCATAACAATCATAATTACGTAATTATATTCTAATACCTATTAGTTTTTTTTTATAAGTAATGTGTTGCTTGTTGATAAAGGTATAAGAATATTAATAAATAAGTTATACTTTTCCTCTCATTTATACAATTGATTAGCTTTTAAATCATAGTTACTATTATTATTACATAAAATACTTTTGAGATATTCGGGTTAAGATTCGCAAAATTATTATTTTTTTTTATGAAACAAACCATTAAGTAAAAAGAAACACCAATGTAAAAGAGAAAATTATATATCCAATTGTATACTTACATAATTTAAAACACGCATAACAGCTTGGATAACACAAAGCAAAATTTATTATATTTTCTCACATTCACAATATTACATTAACCGAATTCTCCGAACTGTTAAAAATGTTTTTTAAAGTTGCAAACGATAAATATCTCAATTACGATTAAAGTAGTTTTTTTCGGTTTTATTTAAAACCACCTCAGGAGCAGAATGGTTAAGGAGCCCTATAAAATTCCTACAGAATATTTCACATTGCCATTCACTTTTTAAAGAATAAGTTGCTTAATTTTTTCTCAAGCAGCTTCAATTTGTTTTTGCTTTAAAGGATTCATAATTCTAAAAATTAAGAATTACTAAAAAAATGGAATAGAAAACATTTCAAAATAAATTTTTTTTAATAGCGATTTTCTTTCACATATTATAAAATATGGCAGAATTCATAGGAAATCAGAAATTTTCAAATGATGTACAGTACTATATAATATATTTATAAGAGATTATGTGGAAAAAATTCACTGGAAAATTTGTAAACAGAGTAATTCACTTTGTTACATAAAATCTGATTAGACTATATTTGGTATTGGTTTTCAGATTATTTCTTAAGAAAACAAAAAGAGTTCAATCGATACAGTGAATAATATTAACTGGAGAATGTGTAATATTGTACAACTGTAATATCGGAATACAGAATCAGTTTAATGTATTATTATACCTTCTTTTATATAAAAATATTTATTTTTTTAAAATAAGTTTTCAAATATTTTGTTTTTAAAATGTAATATTTATAAAATAAACCAGTAAATTGTAATCTACATGAGTACAAAAATGTGCAAATATTTCATTTTATTTAACTTTGCGTGTAAATGTATTTATTTTTGTAAAGTGATACTGATTAGGAATTTAAATAATCAACTGTATGTAATTAAAATTTCAAAAAAAGTCTCAACTAAAAAAACATATATTCATATATGTTGTGTGTGCACCCCCATATATATATATGTATGTATGTATGTATTTATATATATATATATATATATATATATATATAAATTTCATCATTTTAAAGTATTTTATGTATTAAAATATCTTTGGTAATTCACAACAGTAAGAAAGAAAACACACTAAAAAGTTTTTATTTAAAAATCTCGAACAAATATCCCGAAACTTAATTGAGTGATTTAAGTTTAATTAAATATTTACCAGTATATATTTACTGGTTCAATAAAATGTGGGAGAAAATTCCAAGTATATACTGAACTGAAATAAATTAATTAAATTTTTATCTTTATCTCTTACTTTAATGTTTTCCTTATGAGTTCCATTTTAAAATATTGACACTTTGAAGAGAGAAAAGTAAAAATCATTTGGGGAGTCCAAGGAAAGAATATTTTGTCAAACTTAACTCACCCTTCATTTTGTCTTTCACAAACACAGACATATTCTTAACTTCTAGGCAGTTAAATCTGTCTAAAAAGATAGAAGAAAAGAAAGAACATGTGCATATTTTACGAGATTTTCTTTCAAGCAAGAAATAAACAAAAGAAAGTTAAAAAAACAATTTCTAAATTTTAAACTCATAACTTTTAAAACCCTCTTTTATAATTTTACAGGTTGATGGCTCAACATAAGAAAATTCTTTCTTTCTTTGAAGTTCTAGTCACAGCTGTTTCACGCTCAAATGAAAATAAAAGAATTTTACAGCTATTAAAATGAAACGGCCGATATAAATATAAAGGAACGAATTTTCAGTCAACTTTTATTTTTGAAAAATCAAACAGGGAGTTATAAATAGAAGTATTCTGTATAATCCTATAAATATCATGGGAAATTTGACTAATTGAATTTAGTCATTGTTTTCCAATTTATTTATTGCAAATTTAGTCATTTGCATAAGTAATTTACAATTTTTTTCAATTAAATGAATTTTATACACACACATAAATATTTATGCTTCATGTTTCTTTTGTTATTGTAAATAAAAATTCTTGAGAATATTTACATATGATTACCATTTTTTTCCCCAATAATTGGGAAAACATTCTTAATTCTCCAAAATGTCACAATAAATATGAGTGTTGCATGACGCAGTGATAATTTCTCAATATATTTTGAGAGAGATAAAGAAATCACATTTTTTTTATTTTGCTTTTACATAAATTTATAAGAAAGTATGAAGCTTGTAATAATA